CCCTTCCTCAGAACTGAGGAAGGGTCACCAGACCCGAAACGTTAACTCTGTTTTCTCCTCCACAGATGCTGCCAGACCTGCTGAGCTTTTCCAGCAACTTTGTTCTTGTTTCTGATTTACAGCATCCGCAGTTCTTTTGGTTTTTAAGTAAAGCGAAGAAAGCACTCTGCTTCTAGACTTGGCACCCAGCAGTTGAAGACATGACTACCAGTGGTGCAGCATTTAGAAGTGAGATGTACAAGAGACTAGAATAAGAAAAAAAGCCATAGGCATTTTGGAGGATTGTGGAGCTGGAGCAGGTTACAAATAAAGGGAAGGATGAGGTGGTGAAAGGATTTGGAAGCAAGGTTGAAAATTTTAAAATGAAGACATTACTTGACTGAGAGCCAGTGTATGTTAGTGAGCTCAGGGATGAAAGGGAGCCAGGGGTTTTACCAAGTTAAGACACAGGAAGCACAATTTTGGACAACTTCAAATTAGGGTAGAATTTGGAAAACCAGCCAGAAGTGCAATTGGAATAGTGCAGTCTAGAGATAATGAAGACATGAAGTGGGTGAAATTGCACATTGTTATAGAGGTTGGGATATGTAATTTTGCTCATCACAAGACTAAGAAGTCAGAAACTCATCTTAGAATCAAACATGACACTAAGATTGCAAATAGACTGGCTTAATGTCCCACTTTTTCCATTGAAAGGAATGGAGTCAGTAACCAGGGAATGGAAAACAAAGTGGCAATTATGGCTTTAGTCTTCTCAAGATTCAATTGGAGAAAATTCTGGCCAATCTAGTATTTGCTGTCAGGTAAACACTGATGATTTAGCAACAGTGGAAAAGTTGAGTGGTGCTGCCGAGGTAGACCTGCATGTATGTGAAAACTGACAGCATGGTTTTGGATGATATCGCCAAGAAGCAATATATAGAAGAGAAACAGGATAGAGCTAAGCATAGATCCTTAGGAGACATCAGATGTAACGTAGAACCTGGAAGAGAAGTCATTGCAAGTAACTCTCTGACATTGGTTAGACAGTCAAAAAAAAGTTTTGCAGTGATAGCACTCAGCTGGGTGACAGCAGGGAGATGGTGTAGTCAAATGTCAAGGCTGCAGCAAGCTTGAGAAGGACAAAGATGGAATTTCATAAGATTAGTTGTTGTGAAATTGATAAGAGCTGTTTTGATACAATAACAGTAGTGGAAACCTGATTGGTGTGATTCAGATGTGGAGTTCTGGGAAAGGTACGTCTGGGATTGGAAAGTGACAACATGCTAAAGGACGTTTGAGAGTAAAGGAAGGTTGTCAGTGGAACAGTAATTTCCAAGGTCAAGGATTGAGTATAAAAATAGAGAAGTCTTGCTAAAACTATACAAGGAACTATTCAGAAAATAGTTCTTTTTTGAACTATTTTTTTCTGAAGAAGGGTCTAGGCCCGAAACGTCAGCCTTCCTGCTCCTCTGACGCTGCTTGGCCTGCTGTGTTCATCCAGCTCTACACCTTGTTATCTCAGATTCTCCAGCATCTGCAGTTCCTACTGTCCAAGGAACTATTTAAACCATTCCTGAAATACTGTGAACAGCTTTGGTCTCCTTTACTAAGAAACAATATACTCACATTGGAGGTAATCCAGAGAAGGTTCATTAGGTTCCTCCTGGGTATGGAGGGATTTTCTTATGATGAATGGTTGAGTTGGTTGGGTCTGTACTCATTAGAATTTGGAAGAATGAGCTGTGACCTTGTTGAAACGGGAATGTTTACCACAAAGAACCACTGAGTCTGGGTTCTTAAGTATATTTAAAGCTGAGATAAATAGCCTTTCAATCAAGAGAATCGTGAGTTGTGGGGAATAAGCAGGAATGCCAGATTAGCCATGATTGAATGGTGGAGCAGACCTGATGAGTTGTATGGACGACTTCTACATCTCTAGTCTTAAGGGTTCTTCTTGTGAGAGGTGTGAAGGCAGAAGATGTGAAGGAGTGGTGGACAACAGCTAAAATATTGAATTAAAAAAGGAAGCAAATTCCAGAGCTTACAGCCCAGACAACGGAAGAAATAGCAACCAAAGTGGAGCAATGAAAATTGGGAATGTGCAAAGGTGAGAATTTGAGTAATGCAGAAAACATCAAAACTTGATAGGCTAGCAGAAGTTGGAAGGATGAGCTTGTAGATCAATTTCAAAATAAGAATGAAAATGATAAAAATAGAGGCTTTGTATGAGGGGCATGAATAGGTGATTAGCCAAGGCCTTTTCCCCAGGGTAGGGGAGTCCAAAACTAGGGGGCACAAGTTTACGATGAGAGGGGAAAGATTTAAAAGGAACCTATGGGGCAACTTTTTCACACGTAGGAAGTGATGGAGGCTGGTATAATTACAACATTTAAACGGCGTCTGGATAGCTTTAGGAATAGGAAGGGTTTAGAGGGATATGAGCCAAATGCTGGCAAATGGGACTAGGTTAATTTAGGATATCTGGTTGGCATGGATGAGTGGACTGAAGGGTCATTTTCCATGCTGTACATCTCTATGACTCTGACTCTATGTGGGTCATTGAACAGAGCAAAGGGATTAGAATACTAAAATTAAGATTGTAATACCTTTTGGCTGAGATTAGAATTTGTTAAATTAAATGCTACCCTCCACATGCTGCAGTTGCTAATCTTGGGACTTGGCAACTGCTCCATTCTCTACTTGAGGACCAAATGTGGGTAGTTGGAAATAGTGGACCAAATAATTGAAATCTAACTTGCTTTTATGACAAATGTTCTTTGCTGATAGACATCCTTGAAAAGCGCTGCCAATACTTCAAATGGGCCCTCTTCAAGCCAACTTCATTTCTGTGCAGTGTTTTTTTTTCTCTATTGCTGACCTGTTTTGTTGTCTGTAAATTTGGGTATATGTTTATTATTATTATTGAGCTAATTGTTAAAGACTGCAAAACTTAAAACATCAGATATGCTCCACTTATTTCAAATAAACATGATTCTATTGCTTTGTTTCTTTTTTATTCTTTGTGTAATAGTTTTTGCACCAAAGATCTGCTGTTCCACAAGTTGTCTTTGTCCATTTTTAGGCATCGTTCTTGACCAAAAAACTGAATATCGGAGGCAAAAGAGTGAATATTGCAATTTGGGTAAGTATTCAGATTTGTTAAATTAATTTGGTCATAAACATTTTATGAGGTACATTGATACTGGTGTTGATGTGGTATAAGCCCTGTTTTTCACTAACGTGTAGATTGTAAAATAGTTGTTAAAACATGGACTAATCCCAGTGAAGAGGAAGTTTTTGCTCCACTTCATGTTAATGTCATATTTAGCTTTTATTCAAGTTTCAGATTGAATCTATGCTATAAATGCAAAGTCTGTATAAACAGAATTGATTCCGTAATGATGCTACAGCTGTACCATAAATTTTTTAAAAATGTTTGTAAAATTATACATGTCCTGAAAACAGTTGAATATTATGTATAAATTAATTTTCTTTACCCTTCTCACTTAAAAAAAATTAGATAATGTAATGAATTGTTTTAGTTGTGATAGTCATCCTCATTTTTGTCCTTTTTACAAGCTATTTGAAAAGTACTTCATTGTAATTATTTCCAAAATATTGCTCTAATTGAGCCTTTGTATGGTTCCATTCCCACCTAATAGAACACCATAAGCCAGTGCGTTTCCAGCAATAGCTTCTGTTTGTTTCTCCAAAGGTTTACCTTCAGAGTCCCCTAAAGATCTGCACTCGGCCTCCTCTTTCTTACATATATAGTGTGTCTTGGCAACACTATATGTAAGCCAAAGAGCTGCTTTATCATCAGCAGATGCTTTCCAGCTGTATTTTTCGACCTCTGTGGCTGTCACTGTGCTAGTGAGGCTTGATGAATTTCTTCTTCCACTAACCCAGTGTCACAAAGATGAAAGCCATCACTTTTAACTTTTAACTTTTTACTACAAACTCCGCCCCTATGAACTCCTGGTTACTGTCCAGCAAATGGTAAAGTTTAAAATCTTGATATGGTCAAGTGCGATTGAATTTCAAATTTCATCAGGCTAGTTTCCTTACATTGCATTTCTGGCCTCTTTAACTGCTCAAACTATTCATGCCTTTACCATTTACAGGTTTAACAATTATTTGTTTTCACTGACTTTCCATCCTCCACCATCCGCCAAACCCACACCTGAAGGTCTGCTGTTTCTGACCTTTCTCGTACAGACCTGCCTTCTTCTTGGGCAGTCTTTTGGGATTGAGGATGACTTGTTCTCACTCTAGTTTAGTGAGTTCTGAGGTGGCTGATGGATGATCCTCAGGCACTGCCACATGCAGGACAGGTGGTGCTTGAAGGGTTGGGGCTAATGAGTGTTTTCCTGTTTTGTACTTTATCCAATGGCTCGACATTTGTGTGCTTTTGTCAAAGTCATTTTGTGTTCAGCACCTTTCCAAATAAACACTCTGCATTTTGGTTGGTTACAAGACAGGGACATCTTTAATGAGGACATCTCTGAAAAGTGTTTCCGCTGCCCTCCCAAGTGTCTTCTGCCACAACCGTATTCAGAATAAAACAGTTGCTTTAGAAATCTGAAGTCAGATATAAGGATGACGTGTCCTGCCAAATGAAATTGGCCTTGAATGATTAGTGCCTAAGTGGTGGGTGTGCTGGCTTTGAAGATCCCATTTCCTGTCCCTGGATTTGGAGGATTTTGTGAAGGCAACACTGGCAGTATTTCTGTAGAGTTTTGAGATACCTGTTGTAGGTTTTTAAAGTGTCCAATGCATACAGTCAGGAATGGGGGTGGTGTCCCTGCTGCTTGGTACACCATATCCTTAGTCTTGGGTTTGAGATCCTGGTCCTCAACTAGTCTCTTAAACAGTTGGCTGAACTGGCATGTTAGAGGCAATGATTAACTTCATTATGTATGTCTACCCTTATCAAGAGGAGGATTCCAATATATGGAAAATGGTCCACATTTTCCTAGACATTGCTGTTGATCTTAATTGATGGGGGAAGGTGTTTGGCTGCAGGAGCTGCTTGGAGGAGGACCGTAGTTTTCTTGGTATTTTGTGAAAGACCTGTACTCATTCCCATACTCCCAAAATGTTCCAAGTTCTAACGCCTTGCAACCATCAGTGCCTTCAGTTATCTTTGTTCTCTTCATTGCAACTCTTTGTGTCTACAACTTTCTTTATTTTAAGCCTCCTTCAAATCCATTACTGAGACGTAGTCTCTTGACTTAGAATCCCTACAGTGTGGAAACACATCCTTTGGCCCAACAAGTCCACACCGACCCGCCGAAGAGCATCCCACCCAGACCCATACCCCTACCCTTTTCCCTGTAACCCACTAATTACACATCCCTGAACACTATGGGCAATTTAGTGTGGCCAATCCACCTAACCTGCACATCTTTGGACTGTGGGAGGAAACTGGAGCACCCAGCGGAAACACACGCTGACACGAGGAGAATGTGCAAACTTCGCACTGACAGTCGCCCGAGGCGAGAATTGAACCCGGGTCCCAGGCGCTGTGAGGCAGCAGTGCTAACTGCTGAGTCACCTTCTTGACTCAGCATGCATTTTTATTTGCCCCTCTGTGAAGAATTGGGACTTTTTAAGTTTAATAGTCCGATTATAAATAGAAATTGATTCCAAAGTAGTAGAACATACAACAAAAGTAATTATGAAAACAAACCTTTGTGTTCTAAACCAGGATACCGCAGGTCAGGAGAGGTTCCATGCTTTGGGTCCGATATATTACAGAGATTCTAATGGAGCCATATTAGTGTACGATATCACAGATGAAGACTCATTTCAGAAGGTGAGTTCTTAAAGAATTCGGGCATAGAGATACAATTGAACTTAAAACTGCATGGTTCCACAGTTTTCCATAATGACATAAGTATGCGGAAGAGAAATGGAAAGGCCTAACTTCCATTTAAGTTTTGTGAAATTTTGTAGTCCTTATACAAATTGGCTCATGCAGTAATAAGTGGGGGGAAAAAGAAAATATTATTTCTGATCACTTGGTCTGTAGAGTCATAAAGCACAGAAACAGACCTTTCTGTTCAACTTGTCCATGCCAACCAGATATCGTAAACTGATCCAGCACAATTTGGCCCATATCCTTCTCAACCCTTCCTATTCATGTACCTATCTAGATGCCTTTAAATGACATAATTGTACCTGCCTCCATCACATCCTCTGGCAGCTTGCTCCTTATGCCCACCACCCTCTATGTGAAAAAGTTACCCCTCAGATGCCTTTAAAATCTTACCCCTCTCACCTAAACCTATGCTCACGTTATAACACTCTTCTTGCACAATTCAGTGAATCATTGGTATCTAGATCAAGCTTTTTTGTTATCCCTTTTTCCTATGATTGTATTCATCCTGAAAATAGACAAAAATCCAGAAATCAATTTGGCTAATTGAATTTTTCTATAAAGTATCTTGAAGATTTAGGTTTCCTAAACCCTTTCCGTTGATCTGTGAAGATTTGTGAGAGAAATGATAGGGCGATACTTGGCATACAAATTAAATACTCCATGAAGAAAACTTCAGAACAGTGAGTCTCTTCCTCATACTAATATTGCCCTGAAACTGTCTGTAATTTATTTATAGGAATCATGGAAAAGGAATAAACTGTATTCATTTAACACCTTTCACGACTTCCAGATGTTCTTGAGTGCTTTATTTTTTTGAAGTATTGTAATTTATGAAATTGAACAGTCAATTTATACATTGGCAACTTCTCAAACAGCAATATGGTAACCAGAGTTGAAGAGGGGGCTGATATTCATTGAGAGTGAACAACTGTCCAGGACATTGAAATAATCCCTTGCTGTTCATCAAAATAGTACAGAGGAATTTCCTATGCCCAACTAAGAGGACAGGTGAGGACGTAGCTTAATGTCTAATCCAAAAGATGATAGCTGTAACAGTGTAGCACTTCCTCAGTGCTGCATTGAGCTTTAGACTGGAGTTTTGTTAAAATTCTGGGGTGGAACTTAATCTTCAAATTTGGAAAGCGTGCCATAGCTGACACTTGGATTTTTTTTTTAAAATGCATAGTGAAATTGTGAGTGAATGTTAAACTATATGTTAATATTTACAAAATCTAATGCTTTTTTAGGTGAAGAATTGGGTGAAAGAATTGCGGAAAATGTTAGGAAATGATATTTCTTTATGTATTGTAGGTAAGTATTCATCTCGTTGTCAGCAAATAAATGATTTTTATTGTTTTTAAGTAATTTTCTGAGTTGAATAACGTTGTTTCAGAATTTAGTATCGTTCTAAAGTAACAACGTGAATATTAGCTTGGAAGCATATTACATGCCATGGGATAGAGCAGAGATAGTTGTGCTGATTGGAGATCAGGAAACGTTATAGGTTTCCTGGATGTTGAATTCTTTCTCTGTAAGTTTCCCACCCACAACCAACCTGATAGTCTGTTTGATGGAAAGCCTATACCACAAGACTGCAGCTAATGTGCTCTGGTAGGTGGAGGGGTGAAGAAAAATGGTGTAGGAGATATAACTGAGGGGAGGATTCATAGTGATTGGAGAGGAAGTGGTGTGGGACTGAAGAATCATGAAGGTGGAGGAGGGTTGTTTGGGAATATGTGAGGTAAGATTATTCTGGAGCATTTAAGTTAAGAAATGGTTAAAGATTCTGTTTTATGTCAGCGAAATATTTTTCCCCGAACATTTAGAAACATCCTGTATTTTAAAAGTCGGTATGGAAGATTTCTTACATGTGATATTTTTAGTGAAATTTGAAATAATTTTTACAGCTGTGTTTATGAACTTGCTAAGTGTACTATAGAGAAAACATATTTCCCTTCTATAAAATGCCTTAAATTTATTAGCCCATTCTAAGTCAGGATGTTGTGTGGCTTGGAAGAGAACTTGCAGTTGTGGCATGTCTATGAATCTGTTGCATTTATCTTCCTAGGTAGTAGAGGTCACAGGTTTAGAAATTGCTATCAGGAGAGCCATGGTGCATTACTGCAATTCATCTGGTAAACAGTGTGCACTCTTACTGCCACTGTGCGTTAGTGATGAAGGGAATGATTGTTGAAGGTGGCAGTTATGGCAGAGTCAAGCAGATTGCCTTGTACTGATTAGTATCAAGCATCATGTGTTTTTGGACCTGCATGCATCTAGGCAAATGGAGAGTATTCTTTCTCGCTCCTGACTTCTGCCATATAGATGGTGAACAGGGACTGGGGAGACAGGAGTTGAGTAACTTGCTGCAAAATCTGTAGCCTGTGATTTGCATGTGTAACCACATTATTTATGTAGTTGGTCCAAGTCAATTTCTGGTCTATGGTAATTTCCCAGGACGTTGATCATGGGGTGTTCAGTGATGGTAATGCCATTGGACATCAAGGGGTTATGTTCGTGCTGCTAGAGATGTCATATCCTGCAGTTGAGTGACATGAATATTACTTGCCACTATTAGCCCAGGCTTGAATGTTGTCTCAGTCTTGCTGCAGATGTATGTAGACTATTTAAGTCTCAGGTGTTGTGAATAGTGCTGAGCATTGCGCAATCATTAGCAAACGTTCCCACTTCTGACCTTAGAATGCAGTGAAGGTCGTTGAAGTAGCTGAAGATTGTTGGGCTCAGGACACTTTCCTGTAGAACTCCTCTAGTGATGTCCTGGGGCTGAGACAATTGACCTTCAAAAACCATAACAATCGTCCTTTGTACTAAGTATGAATCCAATCTGTGGAGTTTCTCACTGATTCCCATTTACTCTAGTTTTAATAGTGCTCCTTGATGGCATACTTGGTCTAATGCTGCTTTGATGTCAAATTATGTCATCCTCATTTCATCTCTAGCATTCAGGTCTTCTGTTCATGTTTGGAGTGGGGCTGTAATGAGGTCAGGAGTGAAGTGGCCCTGGCACAACCTAAACTGAGCATCAATGAGCAGGTGACTCTTTGAAAGTACGCTTGATTGAACTGTAATAAGTCCTTCCATCACTTTGCTCAAGAGTAGACTGATAGGGTGGTAATTGGCAAGGTTGTATTTGACCTTTTTGTGCACAGGACATAGCTGGGCAACATTCCACATTGTCAGATGACAGTATAGCTGTACTGGAACAATTTGGCCATGAGTGCAGCAAGTTCAGGAGTACAATTCTTCAGTACTGTTGTTGGAGGATGCTGAGATGGGTCATCCACTCAGCGCTTCTGATGAAAGATGCATGCAGATACTTCAGACCTATCTTTTGCAATGAAATGCTGGGTTCCCCATCATTGAGGATAGGATTATTTGTGGAATCTCCAACTCTTGCCAGTTAATTACAATTTGTGACCAAACGTGGCAGCACTGCAGAGCTTAGATCTGATCTGTTATATGTGGGATCTCTTAGCCCTCTCTATTGTATGCAAATAATCCTTGTATTGTAGTTTCACCAGGTTGACACCCAATTTTGAGGTATGACTGATGTTGCTCCTGCATGCTTTCCTGCACTCTTCTTGAATTAGGCTTGATTTCAGTCTTGCTAGTGGTGGTGGAATGGGGAATACATCAAGTCATGAAGTTGTAGATTGTGGTTGAATACAGTACTCCTGCTGATAGCCACCAGTGCCTTATGGTAGCCCTGTTTTGAGTTGGTGGATCTGTTTGAAAACTGTCCAAATTAGCAGGTTGATAATGTCACTCAGAATGATAAAGGATATTCTCAATGTGAGGGGATAGGACTTTGCAAGGACTGTTCAGTGTTTACTCCTACCACTAATATTGTGGAAAGATGTGTCTGTGACAGATTGAGGATGCATGTTGCAGCTGTACAGGATATTATTAAGGCCACTTTTAGAATACTGTGTTCAATTCTGGTCTCCCTGCTGTAGGAAAGATGTTGTTAAATTTGAAAGGGTTCAGAAAAGATTGACAAGGACGTTGCTGGGTTTGGAGGGTTTGAACTAATGGGAGAGGCTAATAGGCTGGGCATTTTACCCTGGAGAGTCGGAGGCTTTGAGGATTGATCTTGTAGAGGTTTATAAAATCATGAGGGGCATGGATAGGGTGAATAGCCAAGGTCGTTTGTTTTTCCAGGGTAGGGGAGCCCAAAATTAGAGGGCATACGTATAAGGTGAAAGGGGAAACATTTAAAATGGACCGAAGGGGAAATGTTTTCACAGAGGGTGGTGTGTGTTTGGAATAAGCTGCAAGAGATGGTGGTGAAGGTGGGTACAATGTCAACATTTAAAAGGCACTGGATGGATACATGAATGGGAAGGGTTTAGAAGGATATGGGCCAAATGCTGACAAATGAGACCAGATCAGTTTAGGATATCTGGTCGGCCCGGAGGAGTTAGACCGAAGGGTCAGTTTCTGTGCTGTACAACTCTTGACTCTATGTAGATTTTTCAGCACCATTGGTTTAGTGATCTTTTCAAAACAAAAAGACAAAAAAGCCAAGCTTGATATTCATGCTACATAAAATTGAATTTTTTTTTTGATCACCCAGGTAACACCTGCAGAAGTATTAATAATTTGGTAACTAGCTGTAGTCAATGAAAAACTCTCCAGTGTAGAGGTAGTTCATTTATAAAGCTTGAGGGGCACCTCTCCACTTTAGTTGTGTGGGAAGACGAGGAGACAGACCTTCAAACAAAATGCTAGTTACATGAAACAAAAGTGCCTCTTTCTCAATTTAGTGCAATTTTGAGCTGAAAATTGTTATCCATTATTATTAATATGTCTGAAACTTGGTTGGATAATGGTAATGAGTTCAAATTGGAATTCAGTGGTTTAAAGGTTATTTATGGTTAGGACATCTTTCTGTGATGCCTTTATTTTCAAGAAAAGGTGAGTAAACTAGTGAAAATGTTCTTTTCAAACTTCCTTAATTCTTGAGATTAATATTTTAATATACTTTAAGAGTTGTAGTCTTACTTATAAAATCAAATGTCAACAGTAAATCAAATCCGAAGAATGGCAAGGTCAGAATTTAGTTATTTTTACTTGGGTTGGAGATTAGGTTACTGTCTAATACTGTAATGATTTTCTATTTAATCCAAGGGAAACAGTTCTGGCCTTATTTTTCCAGTAATTTGTCACAGTTATTATAAATTAAGTTCCCAAAACAATGTTTACTGTTCATGAGTTCCATCTTTTCAATGCGTGTCACTAATGTCCAAGTGTTAGAATTCCAATATGATCATGAGATTTGTATTTTGCAAAGGGCCAGAAACAAAAACTCAGTTTATGAATTTCAACTTAGTCACAAGATTGTGATCAGCCATTTGACGACATGTCCTCAGTGAGTTTGTTTCTCATTTCAGCCAAAACCTATTTGAAACTGTAATGTAATATGGAGTGATTTAAGGTAACTGTCTCAGACATAAAGTATAATAAAGTAATATTCTGTGTATTTATAAAGATATCTATAAATATATTGCAGTTGTCTTCAGTCAAGTTGTTTGTTGACCTCACCAAGCCTGAGTCCAAATAACAAATAATTCTTTAAATTTCTCATTAGCTTAAATAAATAAATCAAAACATCCAGTTTGGAAAATGATACCATGGAATAACTTCAGTGGTCAAGTGATTTCACATATTTGTGATTTAAAATGAAAGTATCAGCCTGTTGCAATGATTTAGCTTGTTGGATGTATCGTTGAAGAGTAAGATGGCAGTTTAAAATTCAGTTATGCTGCTAATGCAAACCTAAAGCTTGTAGTTTTGCTTGTAAGGGACATTGTCTTGGACGGGAAGTTTGCATTGCTGCTTTGTTGTGTTTTATCTTGGTGAGATAGAAAATATTCACTAGAAGTTGCTAAGAGAAAAATTGATATTCTAAAAGTTAACTGTTTTGATGGGATGATATTTCTTATGGTAGAGGAGGTGACAAGAAGACATCTTCTTAAATTCAAGAAGCCATCTTTTTAAATTGTTGCAAAAGAGTAAGAAAGGAGGTTCGCAGAAATCTCTTCACATAGAGGACTGTTAGAATGCTGGGTGCTTTGTCACAGGTAATGTTTGAAGTAGAAACCACTGCACTAATGCATCTTTTAACAAAAAAAAGTGGAGAAATATTTGAAGTAGAACATAATATTGGGTTCTTGGGGATTAGAGAAAGGCAGTGGGCTTAGTTTTCACTGTTCTCAGAAACAGCCAGCACAAAACTTGATGGGCCAATGTAAACCTACATCATCTCAATCAGGAGCATGTATAGGCTGTTCTTCCCTTTGAGCCTGCCCCACCATTCATTCTGATCATGACTGATCTTCTACTTCAACTTCATATTCTTAGATTATCCCCAAATCTTTTAATACCCAAAAATCTAATGATCTCAATTTTGAATATACTGTATGACTGAGCATCCACTGCTCTCTGCTTAGAGAATTCCAAATATTCACAACCCTTGAAATAATGAAGTTTCTCTTCATTGCAGTACTAAATGGTCCCACTCTTTTTCTGACACTGTCACACCTGGGTTTAGACACCTAAATCAAGAGGTACTGTCTCTCAGCACCTGCCTTAAAACGCGTGTGTGTTTTAATTGACTGCTATAAAAGACATGTAGATAGCACCTATCACAACCACCAGCTGTCCCCTGGTATGTTATGATTAATAAGTTACTTTTGAACTGTAGTCATTGCTATAATGTCGGAAATGCCCTGAAAAAAAACTTAGATACTGACCAGAGAATGCATTTTTTTTTTGTTGATTTAGGGATCTTTAAAATTTCATGTAACTGGTCTAACCATAAACCAAAATAGTTGGAAACCACAGATTGCTTTAGGATTTTGAATTTCCAAAATTTTTGTATGTACTGTATTATTTCCAGAGCTTGGATATGTAAGAATGTGTGATTTTAATTAATGTTCAGACACTACACCCATATATATTTGGTTTAATGGGGAAGTTTTTGGTTTTCAGTTAAAAAAAATTGAAGGAATGGTCGAAATCGCAGAACCTTAGGATTTAATCCTGATTTGAAAGTCATTGGCCATGATGATAAAGATTAGTGGGCTCTTTATGTATTCTAACCAGTTTGAAGGCCTTGTACCTCCGATTCTAATGTTTTTGTGCTCTCTTCATCAGGTAATAAATTAGACCTTGAAAAGGATCGTCATGTATCTGTTGAAGAAGCAGAGGTGTAAGTACACAAAAATTCTGTTTTTCTCTCATGACAATAATCAAATTGCAAAATCATCCTTAATTTAAATGTGTTGATATTAACTGATATTTGTACAGGTACGCTGAATCAGTTGGAGCAAAACACTTCCATACGTCGGCTAAGTTGAACAAGGGAATTGAAGAACTATTTCTTGACCTTTGTAAAAGTGGGTGAAATTTTGCCTCTTACTTGTAACATGTAGTGGATGTTAAGTATTTGGTTAAAAGTATTAAAATTCTATTTAACTGTTAGAAGTAATAAAGGACTCAACATTTCACATGTATCATCAGTGATTCAAAATCTGTTACAAAATGGAAAAAGATGTTCTTCTTGGAAGCAGTTCAATTTAATTGCATGTACAGAAATATAACGAGTTATTTTCCTAATTTCATGTTAGTTTAGCATGTCTAATTAGATATACAGAAATGTTGAATGACTGCAACTAGTTTTAAACATGGCAACAATTTTTTGACACATCCCCTTAGCCATTTTGACAGTTTGTTTCCATTAAATGTTTTCAGTCTGTTAACTTCACAATTCAATCTATTTAGTCCTATTACCTCTTTTAAGATGTGTTTTCTTCATATCCAGTACCCTTTCATATGAATTCTACTTCAATCAATTTCTGCTGTATCATTACTCTGCAAAAAAGACATTCTCCTAACCTCTTTCATGCCTGGACCAATTAGTTGATGTGCCTGGTTAGAAGTTAAACAAACACTTGGTAGTTCACTGTTCCTTGATGCATTCTGTATGGCAATGTCTTTACTAATTGGTGTCAATTACCAAGTAATCTGCACCCTCTCCTCTTGAAGGTTAATTATTATTCCCTTTGAGATTTGGTATTTTTATGTTTCTATCCTGATGAGTGCAAGACGTAAGGTTTTGATAGCAATACTCAGTCTCTTCTGTACCTTCTCCATAGCTTTCACGAGAATTCTAAATCAAGGTGCAAGAAGTGTACGTTACTTAGCCTTTTTTTAAATATAGGCTCAATGTTATCCCTCCACTTTTTTTAAACTAAATAAGTTTTATTTTTGACCTGTTTTCAGGAATGATAGAAACAGCTCAAGCCGAAGAAAGGGCAAAAGGTAATGGCAATGGCCAATCTGCAAACACAAGAAGAGGTGTACAGATAGTTGATGATGAACCCCAACAACAGAGCAGTGGAGGATGCTGTTCTTAACCAACCAAAACTGTTGAGCTTTGTTTTTGACATGGAGACTGCCATGCATCGCATCACATTTCTTATCAGCCGAATGTTGTGTGTTAAGATAAAACTCACCTTTAAAGGACTAAAAGTGCTAAACAAAGTGGAATGTGTGACCAGAAGGTTTTGCTTTTCCTTTTTTTTTACACTTGTCTGAACAGAAATGATCAATGGCCTTTGTCATGAACCTTATATAGAATTGTCTTTTTTTAAATTGAAAAGCTGTATAATTTGCATGAAGCATTTTAGCGTGTAGAAGCTCCAGTTGTATTGTCCTTTTAAAATCAAATCTCTATTATTTAATAACTTATGTACATGTTGAATAGTACACATTTGACTATTTTTGAACATTACTAAATGTGAAAATTCAGTCAATTATTTTCTAGTTTGAGCAGGGTTTTGCACAAGACTCTCCCTATTATGAGTTTATTCATCTATTTCTTAATATGGTGAAAATATGCATAGAAATGTCATATTAAATATTTTATCCACTTTATAGGGCGTGTACATCTTATAAACTTTAGTTTTTCCAAGAGCCAGTGTGAATGAGGGTTGAAAGCATTTAAATAATGGCCCGGCTTTTGCTGTAACAAATGTTCTAATGGCATCGACTGTTGAGTAGACTTATTCCTCAATGTTTAGATTTTCCGTTTTGAAGGGCAAATTGCTGGAATTTGTAGTTGATAATGCTGTGGATGAGGGAAACATGGCACCTGGGGCTCAAGTGAGCAAGACCAGCAACTGTGTCTCCTTAATTTATGAGGCTGAAGGATTGAGGAGTAAAAAAGGAACAATGGAAAAAGAAGTGTAAATTACTGGATGAATTTGATGTCAATTAAATGGAGCAAAAAATATTGGATTTAGAGAGAAGCGAAACCAAGGAAAAATACATTTTTAAAAAATAAAATTTTATATTTTTAAGACCTTCAATTAGTACCTAAAACAATACAATTCCACACCTAAGTGTTAATTTTCAATGCTGGGATCTTGGATGGCAATTTTTGACTGTTATTAGATATTTTAAGAGATACTTGCATTTGTAATAACAATAATTAACTTCATGACAAGTTTTAGTTTGCATCCACTGTGCAAATAAGCACATTCATTGCATCTCAATTATGAAACACTTTCATGAAACTAACTTGGACAGCAATTTTAAGATATTGACATTGACTATGCATATGCTTCTCAACTGAATTTGCTGTCTGATCTATGTGCTTAAATAATGAGGAGAACTATTTAGTCTGTTACTTTGACAGTAAAATCTGGGCCATTGTTTCTGTTAAAGTACATTTATCTCAACAAAATTTGAAATAAAGGGGCAAAATTGGTCTTTCGTAGTGTGAAAAGAGTGATAACGAAACCACCCCGAGACCATTTCCCTACCAACATTTTGGAACTGAAGTAGGCCTTGCAAATTGACAACAAAGGTCTGAGGAAAAGTACAATTTATTGATTTTTTTTTTTGTGCGCAGTGTATGTGAGGAGGAATGTAATTTTTTTTGGATTATGGTTTAAAAGTGCAATGCAAAATTTCTTACCTGTAAATCTAAATCAATGTAATAAATGCACTAAAGAGCCATTTGTGTTAAAGCACTGCTGGGTGTTTCCTTAATTTGGCTTCCTTTCTCATAAATATATCATATTAAGGAACTGTAATGTATTTTAACCTGTTTTGAACACGTGGATGTTAACATGGTAAGTGCAATGGCTATAATGTAAGTGTTGATCTTTATGACCAGTGCTAAAATCAATTATAGTGAAGTTGAGCATTTTACTACTAAATCTCTTGTGAACTTTTTTTTATCATTTTTTTCTTTAGGTAGATATGTTTAGAACCTGTGAAACCATTTAATTGCTTCAAACCAACCATAGAAGGATCAAGTTTAATGAAAAAAAAACTTGACACTCCATTAAACCCAAGATCATAAGTGTGATTTATAAATTTCACAGGCTAAATTAAAAGAGACAAGGGAGGTATTAAGATGATTGCATTGGGGAGGGATGGCTTACCAATACTTTCATGGAAAACAAATGCAGCATTCTTAAAAGAATAATGCTGGACCGCTTCAGATCAGACAAATTTGATCTTGAATGATTGTCAAAGAAATTGAAAGGAATTTAATAAATTATTGGAATAAGAAAGGAAAAATATATCTACATATTATCAAGGACAAAGAATCTAAAAATCAGAAATTGCTGGAACAGCCCAGCAGGTTTGGGTGCATCTGTGGAGAGAAATCAGTTAACTTTTTGGATCCAGTGATCCTTCCTCAGAAATGACCTGCTGAGCTGTTCAGTAATTTCTGGTTTTGTTTCTGATTTCCAGCAGCTGCAGTTCTTTTGGCCCTTATCAAGGAAAAGGGGTTCACTGAAATGAATACAGTATTATACTAACACTAGATTTAATTGTTGATCGGAGGAGCCAAGGAAACTCAGAAAAATGTACATCCATATCAACAAATTACAACAATACAACATCATTTTAATGTAATAGAGCAGTGGCAGAGAATTATTTAGATGTTTAAAAGCTGTACAGGGTTTGAAATTCATGGGTATGTAATAGTAAATTTCATTGCATCATCGCAAGGGAAAATACAAGCAATGATTTGACAGCTGAAAAGTATCCAGTCAAAATTTTGAATTTTGAGATGAATTAGATGGAAAAACTTTGAAGTCTGTCAGAGGGTTTCAAAAGACAAACAATCATTGGAAAATTAATGAATATTGTAATTATTACTTCTTTGCAGAATGGCTAATGTATGAGCATCCATTTCTAAAAGGGTGATAAACATGGCTATTTACAGCATCTCTTCGGTTCTGTGTAATAATGGTATTGATTATCAGGACTTAATTTTAGCATCAAAAACAGAAGTTGCTGGAAAAGCTCAGCAGTTCTGGCAGGTTCTGTGAAGAGAAATCAAAGTTAATGTTTTGGGTTTGGTGACCCTTCCTCAGAAAAAGAGTGTCCTGGAAGGGTCACTGGACCCGAAACGTTAACTTTGCAGCATCAGCAGTTCTTTCGGTTTTTACTTAACTTTAACATTATCACATCAAAAAGAACCAAGTGAACAGAGCAACACTTGTTTATATGACAGGCAAATTTTGGGGTGAAGTAAACTTTTTAACCACTGATCTGCCATTCAGCAAGATCAGGACTGATCTAATTGTGGCCTTAACTCCACTTTCCTACCTATCCGTGATAACTTTTGACTCCCTTGTTTGTCAAGAATATCTACCTATGCCTTAACAGCAACTTATACAATAACATGTTCCAATGTATTTCATGTGAGATCTATAAAGCTAAATAAGACATTCAGCCAGATAGAGGAGCTATTGGGTCAGAAGATAGAAATCTTGGTCATAGTGGTGATTTTAAGGATTGTCTGAAAGGGCAAATGTGAGTTGGAGAGGTACAGGTAGGGAATTCCAGAGCTTGGTTATAGGCAACTGAAGGTAAATCCACTAATAGGTTGTTATTAAAATCGGGGAGGCTTGAGAGTCTGGAGTTGGACAAGTGCAGATTCCTCCAATGATTGGATGACTGGAGGGGTTTACGGGGGAGAAAGAGCTGCATACATATCAAGATGTTCCAGTTTGTTTGTTGTGGTCAAGTAAGTAATCATTTTTGATTTCAATAAGAGATCTTTTGGTACTGTGGCAGGACAGAAGTCTCTCTGTAGAGGTTCAGATATATTATTCTGGGAAAGGTGGCCACAATTTTGAGAGGCAAGAATGTGTCCAGTTGAAGTGTGTTACGGTCAGGCAGTGACTTGGGTAATGCATGTGGTTGAGGATGCCAAGAAACAAGGATGATGTTCAAACATTAAAAGCTGATTCCTTGCTTGGGGGGTTTGTGTCTGATCTTTCAACCCAGACAATAATCTTAGACTTGTGTGAGATAATAAATGATTTAGGAAACTTTAATCTGGAATAAAGTAAGAGTAGTAGAAGGAAACACAAATTCAAATCATAAAAGGTACTTTGTTGTATAAAGTTCATCCTGTTGCAGGTGAACAATTTTTGACATCTGATGAGTGTTTATCCATTACACTTAACCCCCAATATAAATTTGGAAATTAGTTACATTAATGCAAAACTTTTCATCAAGAGATCAAATTAGTCAAAAATCATGGATCTATTTTAAAACATTCTTTAATGTGTTTATCATCTAAGTGCCATGCCAAGGGATGGAAGCGACTATGGTCTTCATAGCAACAACTGGTTGACCTCACTGGAGTTCTTTTTAAGCCTGATTCTAAAGTTGTCCAGCTGCTTTCTTTGCTGCCAGCTGTCTGTTCTTCCGTCAATCCTACTGATAGTGATTAGGCAGTCCAAACTTTCTGTATAACATCCAAAGAACTTTATTTTTCTCCTGTTTGGTTTTTAAGATTCTCCTTGTTCTTCAGCCTCATTTAATACTGTGTCAATTCTTTACTCAAATCAATTCACTTTTGGGTTCCTTCTTAAGCACCAAACTTTTAAAACCATTGATTTTATTTTTATTCTTCAGAAATTGGGAGGGTGGGGGGAAGGGAGCCAGGAATAAATAGAGGAGGGGAGGGGTGGGGCAGGGGAAGGTAGGTGGGATGGTGATAGGTGAGTGCAGGTAGGGAGTGGTGGAGATTGGTCAGTTAGGTGGGAGAGAAGATGGACAGGTTGTGTCAAGTCAAGGAGGCGGGGATGAGAGGGAGGGTTGGTCATGAGATTAGGCCGGGGGGGTGAGGAGATTTTGAAACTGGTAAAATCCACAGTTAGGCCATTGGGTTGTAGGCCCCCAAGGTGGAATATGAGGTGCTGCTCCTCCAGTTTCCAGGTGGCGTCATTGTGACACTGGAGGAGGCCCAGGCTAGACATGTCACCCACGTGGGATTGGGAGGAGGGGGAGTTGAAATGGTTCGTGACCGGAAGATGGTGTTGTTTGTTGCGAACAGAGCGCAGGCACTCTACAAAGCGGTCTCCGAGCCTCCGCTTGGTTTCGACAAGGACGCCACATCAGGAGCAGAGGATGTAAGATGGATGTGCAGGTGAACCTCTGATGTGAAAGGTTTGTTTGGTGTCTTGAATGGAGATGAGGGGGGAGGTATAGGGGCAGGTGTCGCACATCCTGCAGTTGTAGGGAAAGGGGCTGGGGGTGGTGGGGTTTTTGGGGAATGTGGAACGGACGAGGGAGTCGCACAGAAAGTGATCCCTACGAAAGGCAGATATAGGTTGGGCGGGAAATATATCTTTGGTTCTGGGGTCAGATTGTAGGTGGGGGAAGTGGCGGAAAATGATACGTTGGATACGGAGGTTAGTGGGGTGATATGTGAGGAGGATGGGGATCCTGTCTTTGTTTTTGTTGGGAGCAGACGTGCGGGAAACACGAGATGCATTTTCAACCACCAAAGGGGGGTTGTTGCGGTCCTTGAAAAATGAGGACATCTGGGATGTTCGGGAGTGGAATGCCCCATCTTGGGAGCAGACACAGTGGAGGCAGAGGATTTGGGAGTAGGGGATCGCATTCTTGCAGGAAGGTGAGTGAGAGGAAGCGTAGTCTAGGTAGCTGTGGGAGTCGGTGGGCTTGAAATAGATGTCGGTTTCGAGGCAGTCACTCGAGATGGAGACAGGTCTAGGAAGGAGAGGGAGGTATCAGAGATGGTCCAGGTGAACTTGAGGTTGGGCTGAAAGGTCTGCGTAAAGTTGATGAACTGTTCAAGCTCCTCACAGGAGCACGAGGCAAGGTGATACAGGGTCGCAGAGGAAGAGGGACTGTTCCACGTATTCTACGAAGAGGCAGGCATACCTTGGGCCCATACGGGTTACTATGGCCACCCCCTTAGTCTGTAGGAGAGTGCCGCCTACATCGAGGACGATGTCACTTCCACTGACAACACCCCACCCACCACCGATGTGGCTGACAACGTCACTAACTCCACCCCCACAGCCAACTCCAACCCAGCCACCAGATCTACATTCAACTCCAGCCCCAAGTCCTGCTGGGTATTCACCATCACCGCCCCCACACCCCCCAGATGAACAGTCAGTCCTCAGTAAAGAACTCGCCTTCATTCCCCTGCGCCCACACATCAATGAATTCATTCACGCTTGGTTGTTGAACACTTTTTCTGCCACCTCCACCTCCATGTCCATTTCTTTAACCATGAGTCTAACCCACCCTCTACAGACCCCTTCTCCTGCCTCCAAAACACCCCATTCTCCTGGACACCAACCCAAGGCCTCCTACCCTCCCTTGACCTCTTCATTTCCAACTGCTGTCGCAAAATTAATCATCTCAATCTCTGCACCCCTCTCATTCACTCCAACCTCTTCCCCCACGGAGGGTGCAGCCCTCCGCTCCCTCTGCTCCAATCCTAACATCACTATCAAACCCACAGATAAGGAAGGCACAGTAGTAGTATGGTGCACTGACCTTTACTTCGCTGAGGCCAGGCGCCAACTCTCTGATGCCTCCTCCTACCACCCCCTCCATCATGACCCCACCCCTGGCCACCAAAACATCATCTCTCAAACCATTCACAACCTCCTCACCTCAAGTGATATCCCACCATCAGGCTCCAACCTCATCCTTCCCCAACCCCACACTGCCCGTT